CACAAGTTGCTCGAGCAAGACGTATGCAAAGTACCGATCGCGTTCCAGCATTTTTTCTTTAATTTAAAAAAAGGTGGAACGCAATTGATCCTTCGCATGAATTTTGAGTCCATATGTCCATATGTTGGGCAGAATAAGTAAATATCCCAATATTGTGTTTTGATTATTTTCTATAACTGTGTATTTTCTATAGTTTTGGGGGTAATTGCTCATTTGACCCAATAAATCTTGTAGAAAGTATCAGTAAGTCAATGTCGAATGCAATTGTTTTGCATATGGGTGGAGAAATTTGTATCATTTGCTAGATTTGTCAGCAAATTGACCAAAATTTTTTGCATGACTATTCACATAAGATCAGCTATCATTTTATGAGTTCCGTAGTTTAAAATGCAATATCAGTGTAGTCTTATGCTGGTCACTTAGCCCCTCGTTAGCCCCGTGAACAAAGCCCCTCTCCTATTCAAACTCAGGGAGGAGAGCGATAACTTACCATTAATCAGCGTTTTGCTTGGCGTCTCTTCAGCTTAAGCTTTCCGTCGTTTTTTTTTGTGGGGAGGGGGGGTGGGGTAATATGCAATGCACTATTTTCATATGCGTAGAAATACGCAGAAAGTTAGACCATTATTGCGCACTTATCCATTGAATAAGTTAACTGCATTAACTACAAAAGTATATTTCTGATTTGAGACGAAATTTTTTCTAGGAAAAAAAGTAAATGCCAATGAAAAAGTGTATAAATTTAACTACATGTTCAAAATTGTTCCAATTCAATAATTGCTCATGTTTCTCTTGAAAATTCAATCAACTTTTATAGAAAATCAAATTTTTAAAACAAATATTTGAATGTTTTGGGTATTTGGTTTTCTTTTGAAGAGATCTGATATCCATTCGGTAAACCTGCAGGCTAGCGCTGAACTTGGGACTTGATAGCCAAAATTAAAACCTATTTCTCAGCAAAAACTTTTGAATTCGAAATTACGACAAGCGAGCTGGAAAATTATGCTACGTTCAACAGCATTCGAGCGTTCCTTGCGGTGCCTAAAGTGGGTAAAAACCCCTTCGCCGTGGTTTCTTCCAGTCTCATGGAGCTTGCTGGTTTGATATTGAACAAAATGAACAAACTGATAAATAAGAAAGAAATTTGTTTCATTTAAATGTCTAATTCATAGGTTCTAACGATTATCACATCCTGGATCTACCATAGCGTTTTGGAAAAACATGTATATTACATAATCGCGAGAATCGATTTTTAGTTTGTTTTTGTTTGTTGCAAACATAACTTTGATCAAAAAGTTGTGTAGGGTGTTCTTACTTAATTAAGAATTTGGTGAAAGTCATCGCAGATATGCTGTAAATATTGTTTGATATGTTTTGTCAAAATTTTGCACTGTTTCTGAGGCACATTCTACTGAGACAAAAGCAAAAGAAAGTTACTCCTGGCAACTTCCAAGACCCCTTTACATCTGAAGGAAACGCAATAACAAATTCCTAGAATTCAGAGAAAGATTTTTAGTCAAAAACAAAAACAGTTATGTGAAAAACAAATATTCAATTTTAAAGGTTTTTCAAATCATCTTGTTTCCATTTGAAAGAAATTTTGAATTTATTTATATATTTTTTTTCAGTTTCTTGAAATCTTATATTTCATGATTTTTTAATTTTAAAAGTTGCATTTTCAGACGGAGAAAATCATAGTTCCGACGATATCAGAGCATTAATCTCAGATATCAAAACTCACTCGAAAAACTAAAGCATTTCCTAACTCGTGCTATAGCAAAGATTTTGAAACTGATTCACGAATTTCAGATCACCGCGTTGGTTTCCAATTAGAGCATAGCAAAAAAAGAAACCGTTGTATATGAAGACACGTCAGGGTAGACACGTCTGTTACCTCTGCTCAACTACTCCATAGATATTCACACTTAGTTGGTTTTAAAAACTGACTGTCTAATTTGAGTATTGCAAGAAAGATAAACGCTTTTTGAAATTTTTGAAATGAAATTTTGGAGCATAAGCGCTAATGTTCTCCTGAATCATTATAAAAAAGTTGATTTACTACAGATCAAGAGATGGAAAATCCTATGAGATGAAATGTGTTTTTTACTGAGATATAGAGAACTAAAGCGCTGATAAACGGCGGGTAAACTTTTGCTAGTCATCCATTGAAAAACAATGTAAGAGGTGTATCGTGACGGCTATCGATGACAATTGCACCATTACAAAATGCCAACAATGTTTGTTTTTAGCAAACTTTACAAGTTAAGGTGCATTTTATGCAAGATCACTCGCTCCAAAAAGCGACTAATTTTAAGACTGTCGCAAATTATTTTCAGGCTGCATTACGACTCAATTTTTTTTGTAACATTTAGATTATATTGCAAAATTTTTCAAGTCACATCGCGACTGTTTTTTAGACAATCGCGAATAATTTCCGGACCATCGCAAACACCGAAGTACGATATTTCCAGACTTTGTCCGCGACTACAACTTTGGTACTTTGATGGTGCGACCATTTAAGTTAAAAAAAAAATTTTCCGACATCGACCCGGAAATACATCTAATAAGTCAAGATAAACATAATTGATTGAGTTTTTCTAGTTGCAACTCAGATTTCTGAAAATTGTTTTGCAAATTAAAGCAAGACATCAATAGGCTTGATGAAAATTTCGATCAAATCTTTACTTCATTTTATGAGAGAATCATTATGAGAATAAATTTTTGATTTCCTTCGTGGGCATTTTAGGAATAATTTAATTTAAAAACTGATTCAGTTTATCGCTTTGATTGTTGGCATTTTTTGACATTGAAGTCATCTCTATTCGTAAAAACAAAAAAAGGTAATCGGAATAATCTGGACAAGCTTTCAAATGTAAAAAAAAACTAAGCAGTGAGCCCAATTGAGTTTTTAACCAAAAAAAATTGACCGTAACTGAAATTTGATCAACAAAGACGCACATTTAATATTTAGTGCTTGTCAAATTCCTGCTCAGAATCATTTTATTTTAATCGGTAAAGGTTTGTAGTGTCAAAATAGTTTATTTTTATGACTTTTTGAAAACACTATCAAAATTTTTTAGGAAGGAAAAAAAATTTTTTCAAACGAATTCGCCAAAAAATGAAATATGAAGTGTTCAAGTTCGAAAAGAGGTAGTAGTTGCGTATAAAATATTACTTCAACGATTTTTTCACGGCTGCGCAAAATGCTGAACTGTAACACATTCAAGTGTTTACTTTATTTTATGAGAGAATAATTATGAGAAAAAAATTGTTCATTCCTGCGTGAGCATTCTAGGATAAATAAATAATTCAATTTAAAAAATGATTCAGTTATTGCTTTGATTGTAGGCAAGTTTTGACATTGAGGTCATCTCTATTCTTAAAAACGATAAAAAAGCTGGCCCGAACTTAAGTTTGATCAAGAGAGACGTACCTTTTAATTTGAAATGCTGGTCAATTTCAGGTTCAGAATCAATTCATATTAATCGGTAACGGATCATAGTAGCAAATTTATGTTTACTTATAAGACTTTTTGATAACACCATCAAAACATTTCAAGAACAATTTTTTTTTCATCTTCGTACAAATTTGCCGAAAAATGAAAAATGAAGAACTCAAGTTCGAAAAGAGGTAGTAGCAGCGTATTAAAATTTTACATAAACAATTTTTCCACGGCTGTGCAAAATGCTGAATTGTGACTTATATTTCTGTACAAACTTTATAAGTTTCAAAATCAACAATTCGTTTTGAATTCAACAGCTTCAATCACATATTTCTGGAGTGCTACATCCCATCTCGTTTTTTTTTTCTCGTTTTTTAAATTTAATTCTGCTAAAAACAGTATTTTTTCTGCGATTTAACTAAACGAGTTTTTGAATTTTGTTGAAATTAGTAATGAGACATTCTTCTTATTTATTTTAGATTTAAAAAAATGAATTTTTCCGCTCTGAGACACCTGAAATTGGATTGGTAGGTCCAGTGGTGATCTCTGAGGCAGTTTTAAAAGTACTTATAAGTCGTTTTGTGGACTTTTTTATAACTTCTGTCTGAAATTTTTTTATAGTGATTATTAATATGATTATTATGATAAAGAATAGATTAGGTGTGAATGCAGGTTATCGGTCGATTCTCGTCGGCACGAACAGTTTGGGTTTGGACGGCATATCAAATTTAGTCAGATTCAACCTTCAACACTGTTTATTTAAAATAAAATATTGCATAAAAAGTGAGAGTGTTTTAGTTAATTTTAGCTTTGCCATGGCAAAAACTGTTTGTTCATTTGCTTATGTCGTGTGACACTGTTACCTAATTATTAGACTATACTGATATCATCCGAGTTTCTTGATTTACAGCTGAGCGATGTCTTGTGCCTCAATGTCCGGAAAATGAGACGACAACCATTACGACGACCAAACTCTAGTTGACTTTTAAGACGAAAGCTGAAGCAAAAAAAATCATTTTAAGTTAAAATATATCTTCAGCCCACCAAAACTTTAAAAAAACTCAGATTTGGAACAGTTTTTAAACCAAAAGGGAGGTGGCGTCTACAAAAATAGAGGGAATTTTGTTTGCTTAATGTCCTGTCGTCTGATTTACTTTGGTTCGTTTTGTCCTTAGCGCAATATATAATCGAATAGGCTTTCATCGTGTTTCAAAAATTTTTTAGTAAAGTTTTCAAAATTAGACTTTTTATTAAAGAAAAAGTTGAGCTGATAATCTATTGAGCAAAACAAAAAAATTAATCTTGCGCTATTTCGAGTCGAAACAAGTGAAAGCACAGTGATCAATTGCTATACATTTCTAAGCAAAAGTCCGATAATTAAACACATTGGTTTTTTAAAGCAATTGAAACTTTTAAATTCTTTTAATGAACAACAAAACAGTCATGAAAGCCTATTCTATTTTACCTAGGTCAGGGTAACACTTCTTTATTTCAGCAGCATAACTCGAATCAGAAAATGTTTCTTAGTTTAGTGGCTAATAATCTAATTGTATGTTTTCAGAAGCGACCACTTACGACTTCCAGCGTGGCGACTCAGTTCGGATCGAGATGGACCAGCCCCTGGAATCCGACTCGATCGAGATCCGGTTCCGGTTTCGCTGTGCCCCTGGCAACAACGAAGGCTCAGTCTTCTCCACCTACTCAAAAAAGACAAATTACACTCTAATTGTGGCAGTTAATCAAAACGGAAAGGTTAGTTAGTAAATTGCCGGATCAAGTTGCATTTTAAACGTTTTTTTTTCGCGAAAAGAAGAGTTCAGCTTTATTGTTTTCAACAGTTGAACGCATATTTATTGCTCAATTACAGTAAGCTCTTTTTAGTATTGTTTGATTGTTCCAAATACTTACACTTAAGGTGTGGAGAAAGCTCGGATTCGTATGTAATTTCTTTCACTCAAATTATGATTCCACTAAAAGCACTGTACCGTGCAAATGATATAGCATATTGAAGCCCTCTCACATATGATACGATCTCTAATCAAAAAAAATTTTGTGTCGAGAAAATAAAAATTTTGACTTTTCCAAAAAAATTTTATTTGTACTTTTTTTTATTATTCAAAGACACCAAAACATAAGTATTTCAAAGCATTTAAGAAACTAAATTTTTTTTTCCACAAGTTCACCCCAATTGTATAGCTATATTTCACTCCCTCCGTCAAAAAAATTCAAACTAAAGAGCAAGAGTTTCCAAAGCTTTCAGGTTTTATTTTTTCTATGTTTTTTTAATTTTTAAGTTTGTAGCCAAAGTTCTCCTGTTCATCAAACTCTTGAAAACTAGTAACTTCTCAATTGAAAAAAATAGTTCTATTCCTTTTTTATTTTAATGCGTTTCAAATCTAATTTTTTTCCGATCTCGGTCGCAAATAAAAAGTTACCCTTTTGTATCGGTAAGCTGCAATCGTAGAACAAAAACATGTACTTTGAGAAGCAATTTGACAAATTAAAACAATTGTGGATTTTTGACTCATCAATTGCACTGAAGAAAGCGTTTTGTTTCATACAACCGTAATATAAATAGAATCACCTCTTCAGAAATTTTCCAATCCGGCAAAATGCGTGAGTTTTTTAAATACACGCAACTTGGCTGTGTAAAGGGCATTCAATAGCATGTAGGCGTTTTGGCCTTTTTTAAAAACCTTTTAATTTATTGGACGCAAATTTTGATTTTATGTGCGTTTCAAAGCTCCCCAATTTTCGCCGCTTTCTCGCTCGTTTTTGCAAGGTTGCAGCTTTGTCTTTGTGTAAACTTTTGATACCGTTTAATTTGTTATATACATGATTTTGCTAGTTGGTTGGCAACTGTGTCCGTTTCAGGGTAACTAATGCAGGAGTATCGCCAAACAAGGTTTCGATTTATCTGATTTTTGAAGAGGGTAGAAAATAATGTTGCATACGACATTTTATCCCATGATTTTACAATATCAATGGAAATTTTGTAGATTTTCAAGAGAAAGACATTGATTGCTCGTTGTTTTTTGTTTGAGACGTCCCTCGACTTTCTAAAAAGCGCTTTGACAATATTTCAAATCAATTGAAAACTTTTGTCTCGTGAGCTTTTGCTTCGTGAGCTGAAAACAAAACAAATTACCGAGAAATTGTTCTGAATGAGCAATTTGGAACAATTAACTTGGTAGTTGGATAAATTAATTTAATTGATTATTACAAATGGCGTTGACGCAAATCATTAAGTCTTGTTAAATTGCTGTTAGGCGTCAAATAATATCCTTTTGTACTTTTCATAGCAGATGGACGATTTTTTTAAAGAAAAAAAACGAAAAAAATTTGTTTCAATTTTTTTTTCTTAAAAAAGTATGCTGTGCCTGTGAACCAATATTTATTAATAGACAATAAATAGCAGTAAAAATGTTTAGACCCCCCTTTCCGCGACAAGTACTTGCTTCCAACGCCACCCATGGGGTCCCAACTTGGTTCTATTGTGCTGCATCCGTTTTTTCGGCGGTTTCGGTGCCAATTAATATGCGATTTCGGCGCTAATAAACATTAACTAGGAGGAAGATCGTGCGCCGAAAAAATACTATTTCTTGATCAAAATTTTCTGAAAAAAACCTATCACATCATTTTAGGTCAATGTTTTTAGTGATTTTGTAAAACTAAAAAAAACTAATCAGCCTACCTAAGAAATAGGTCGATTAAAAATTTATTTTTATTTGAAGTTCCGCTCGCCTTCTTAAAGAAAACTAAAAATTCGAGCCCTTTGTACATTTTAGGAAATCCATTTCTGACTGACCGACCTCAAAATTACTTTAAAGGCTAAAGGTAACTTTGGTGCCATTGTGTACTAATTTTGAGGAGGAGCGAGCTCCAAAAAAAAACGTTTTTTTTTTTGTCAAAATTCAAAATAAGTGCCCAAAATTTTCTTCAACACTCAGCTTCCGATGCAAAAATCATTTTCCAAAGAGGTTCTTTATAGGTGTCTTTATAGTGTGTACAGTCTTTATATAAAAAGGTCGATCAAAAAAATTTCAAAATTTTTTTGAAAATCCGCCACACCCCTCGAGAAAATCCTTGATCCGGCTCAGCTACTATTAAAATGGTCTATTCTCAATTACGACCTGGGAACCAGTGAGGCAAAAAAGACTAAACTTGTTTTAGGAATTATTTTGCCTTTCTTTTCGACTATCACTCTCACAAAATCTTCAAATCGTATTTTCGCTTTTTTTCTCGCTAATTTACAAAGAGTTGTTTTTAATTGAGAGAAGTATTGCTTTCGAGAGGCTCAACGGCCGTTAACTTTCTGCGCACAGACTGTTGAAACTTTTGTTCATTTTTTTTGACAATTTTTGGAAAACCTGCCCAACTTTTTGACATTTTTAGGTCCGCCCCTGCTACAAGCTAAGGTTTCATTATCTGTTTGCTGTCCCCAATTGAAATTTTAGAACAACCAGTTCCAGCCAGAATAAATTTTTAAAAGAACCAAAATATGAAAAATCTACCGGCTATAGTTGTGAGAAAAACCCAGATGATTTTTTGTGTAGTATTTTTAGTAGTAAGACTGGTATAGTAAGACTGGCAACAGTTTTAGGAGGTTAATTAAAGATACCAGATGATCAATTTTTCTATAATTCTTTTTATGAAAGGCAACAGATTTGGGATAGTTTATAAGATAACCAGATGATAAATTTTGAATTTTTTGTGAATTTTTGCCGTATAGCTCTAATGTTTTTCATTGTCTTTTTGCTCATCCCAAATTTCTTATTGGTTTTCATGAAAAGGCGGTTCAAGGCAGAATATATTTTTGAAAAGACAAACCTACCAGTCATCGATGTTGGAAAAGCCCATATGATTTATTTGTGTAGTTTTTTTTGAGATTTTTAACAGTTTTGGCAGATTTTATCAGGTTAATCGATGAATAATTTTTGAATTAGTTTTTTGGAAAAGACAACTGCTTTGGGAAGTTTCTTGCTATTAGCTTGTAACAATTATTCCATTTCTTACCAAGCCTTATCAACTCTTTTTGAGGCAATGCTCATAAGGTTCATTTTATAGGTTTATAATCACCCACTGAAAAAGCTACTGTTTTGTTTCTAACTCGTTCCAATTGTTGTCAAAAAATTGAATTTCTTTTTTATTCTTATTCCGTTTCAACTCGTGACTATCAAAATGAAAACTAAAAACGATAATCCTCGAATCCAATTGGCTAGTTGAAATACGGTTTGGGAAACATATTTGAAAATCTCATCATTTAGTAAGCGATCCCGTTCATTTTTGGATGCCCCAAATATGGTTCCATAGAACCGATAGAAAATCGCTGACGTGTTTTTGAAATTGAAATAACACGTTCTTAAAAAACGACGCAACGTCTGGTGGCACGTTTTTTTTTTTAAATTTTGTCATAATCATAATTGAATGTTTCTGACCATTTTCTAAAGGCGGCTGTCAAGAAGCGACAAGTCACTAGAGATAATTCTTACAATTATGGTTAAATAAAGATTCAATTGATGCTATGGTATCATATGAGGCGCAACGCATGCTAAACGATGAACCATATAAGGCGGGAAGTATGACACATTTTCCAATTGCATCAGTAATTGTAAGTTTAAAAAAGTCGAGTGCATTCAACACATCAAAAAATTCACCATTCTCTTCATAATGTTTTCTAGGTGTAATTGTTTTCCGAATGAATAAAATCCAAACATGAGATAAATCCGTTTTGTTTTTATCTGGTTCGTTTTATTCGTTGAATTAACAGACATGCAATCAGCAAGAGTTTGATTTGTATGAATACATTTACAGAAAAAATCTATGAACAGACGCTAAACAAAACTTTAATGCATCAATTTTATGATTTAAAAAATATCCGAAAAACTTTCAATATACAAACAAGAAATTATTTCAAAACATAAAACATTTGCCATCGGCAGAAACATACAGGCGCTTGAATTACAGAATATTGACGCCTAACCACGTTAATTACGCCTTCAGCAGTGCTTGATTTTTAATTCAATTAATTTTCCTATTTGCTTTTTCATCAACAGTTTATCAAAATTGTTGCAGAATTTTGAAGCCTAATTAAAATGAGTTCGATACTAATCTACGAAGATAATAAGGAACTTTCAAGCTAATGGCGGTTTTTAGTGAGACTAAACCAAATGATCGAAACTTGCTTCTCTTGTGACTGGAAGGTATTTTGTGTTCTGACTGTCAATTAAAGTCGGTTAAACTTTTTTTTTGTGATGAAAACGAAAACAAAACTTACAAAAAAATACTACTTTAAATTATGTTTGATCAGACCACTGAAATTCGGGAAATCATAATGAACTTAACATGCCCCGGGCGCCCACGGTTCATAATTGTTATCATTGTCATTTTGTCCTTTTATCTAAGAAATTACAAAAAAAATTTGTAATCCAATGTAAATGAGTTATACTTCTATGAGTATTGTGCCAAGATAATTCTTTATTAACAATTAAAATCAATTATAATGAATTTTTTGAAAATTTTTTGATGAAACTTACAATGTAGTAAACCTAGGGATGTCAACGAACTTAATTTTTTGCCTTTTTTGCGTGCTCAACTGTAAACGACATAGCAAAGAATTTTTTTGCAAATTTTGCAACATTGCAAATTAACCAAATTTATTTCCAAATTGAAAAAGAATTGTAATTGAATTTAATGGAAAATGATGGTTTTTTATTTCAATCCCAGTTTTTTTATTTCAATCCCAGTCCTACGCTTAAATCTACTTCCTTAAAAAATACCTTTTGGGGTCCAATTTAGATGACGCTTGTTTCATTTTAGCGTAGCTAATATTAGTAAGCTCGGCGTTTGGTCCAATTTTGCGATAAATGTTTTTATTCTCTTTTCATCACTTTTAGCTTGAGGACAAAAGACCCATACTGTTAGCTTTGTTGTATCAGAAACAATCGAAACATGATTATTGAGATATTTTGAGATGCATTCATTTGAAAGATTTGCTTGGCTTTGAAATATGTGTCAAAAGATTTTCATTCAACTGGTTCAGAACAAAAGACCAAAATTGTCGAGCTCTATCTTATTGTTTAACTGGCAGAATTAAAAAGGATTCAAAAATATATATAAACCATTTTTAGATGACCAGAACACATCATTTTTAGCATCAAAATGAATGAAAGACTTTTTGGAACTCTGTTTTATTTTTATTTTATGAGACAGATTAACACCTGTAATGATCTCTGAGCGACTATAAAATTGGTGTTGTTTTTTCTGCTTGTCAAGTTTTAGTGGCCATAAATCTAAAATCATCAATTAACATGGTAACACCAATATTGTTTTGCAAAAATGCAAATTTTGATAGCTTAGCTTGAGCATTTTGGTTCACAAGGTCAAACAAGGTTGCTCAAATCAGGGCGGAGCCTTGGATGAAAAAAATTTACAAAGCAATAAAATAAATGAAAAAAAAAAAATGATATTTCACGAACTAGTTTTGGATTCCAGAGGCAAAGTAAAATCTTGCACAAAATATGCGAATCAAAAATATGCCCTATTGCTTCCATGAAAAGTTATTTTTAGAAACTTGCTGCAAATCTCCCATACAATACTAGTATTTCGTCATAGAATTATAACAGGAATTTTTTTATAAAATCAAAAATCGGAAAACTAAATTGTATTTCTATGATACGCATTTTAACACCGTTAGATGCGATTAATTTATTTCATGACCGGGCTAGATTCAGGTCTATACATATCTAGTTTTTGCTGGGAGAATGTAACAGTAAATTGTGGTTCCAGACTTTCGCAACCGATTTCAGGCATGTCCAGACTTTCGCAACCTTAACTTGGCTTTTCCAGTTTTTTGCGACCAATTTAAGCCGAGACGGAGATGGCGCGTCCGGAATATCGTGAACAATATTTGGTATGCCCAGACTTTCGCGACCAAAATTTGACAACTCCACATTTTCGCGACCCAGGTGGAGGCGGTGCGATCATTTGTGTTTATACTTTTGCGACCCATGTCCAGATTTCCTTGACCAAATTTTGGTATAATGCCGAATTAGGTCAGTGGTTGGGATTGCATCAGTATTTGGGATCGAACTTCAGATCGAAGTAGGTCAATATTTGGGATCGGTAGGTCAGTATTTGGGATCGAAGTTCAGTAGGGCAGTATTTGAGATCGAAGTTGCGTTGACAGAAGTTGAGACCAAACGCTTGGTATTTCAACTGTCAACTGGTAGTTGATTAATGTAGTAATTGAGATTGATTTTTCTGATGACCAGCAGTTAAAAGATATAATTTTAAACGCTATACTACACATACACATATATGTAAACGAAATCCGCAACAGCTCAATTTAACTATACAAATGACTTATTATTAGTTTGTGGATTCCACAAACTGTTCCGGATTCCGCCAGTACGGTTGCGGGTTCCACAAAATTGCCTTTTTTGGAGCGACTTTGATCGGTACAGTGTTTTAGGTATTTGTTTGTGGAATCCAAAACAGCGAAGAAGATCAAAGAAAAGTAGCAAAGTTGCGGATTCTGCAACAAATCTGATATTGGCTGGTTGCGGAGTCCGCTTACAATGCACAGATTGCACAGTTTGGCCTCGTTATGCAAAATTTTAGAAATGTGAAACTCGATACCACTACAAAATTGTTTTCTCGTGGAACGCGAAGATAAATTTTTTTCATTCCATTTACGAAATTTCTAGAAAAAGAGCTATCACATTCTTGCCTAATATTGTGCGCGTTTTGAACTTACAACTGTTGAAAATTTTTACAAAAAAAGAGCAGACGAAATTCTTGATCGTTTTATGTATACCGACCATAAAATGCCTAGTTTTTCACAGCTTCTGAAGTTCTCGTGTAACTGTCTGTGCCTAATTGCACTTCGATCAGTTATTTCTAAACTTTTATCAAGGTTATCCAATTGTTTAATAAAAAGTGTTTTTTTTTGTTGAAAATGTGTGCTATTGGGTAGTTTTGGTTTTATATTTGGAAGGACTATAGAAAATCGCTTTTTTTCAATGAAAATCATTTTAGCCGGGATTTCTCTCTTGATATTTCTGCAAACTACTTCGTTTTGATTTTTTACTCATTTGGAGGGAATTCGTCATTCAAGAATGACTAAAGCCCCCTGAAAATTATGCTCGATAATCAGAACTCATTATTGAAAAATCTGAAGGAAAGAAGCTCAAAATTTAAGGAAAGAAGCTTCCTGCTTTTTGTGCTTCTGTTATGAGCTGGAACTTCACTTTTGGGGAAAAAACGTCCTTTTTGGCAGGCGCCGAATTAAGCCAACAAATTTTTGCTTTCAACATAAAAACTGACTTTTAGCAGTTTTCAACTATTGGGTCGATTTGACGCGATAGGACAAATCACGTTAGGACAATTTGTCCACGCGCAAAAGCCGACCTGTTCGACTCTTTACGGAGAAACGCCATTGTACTCCTGCATGGAATGGTTAACGTTGCCTCACCCTTAAGCAGCGAGCACGGATCATGGTGGGCTGGGCATCGAACATCCGACCATGCGATTGAGAGTCGAAGACTTAACCACTTCCCCACCGCTCCACTAATTTGTGAAATAAATTAGCAAAACCGCCTGGTTCGTTTCAGTTGATGGTGACTCTGCCTGTGGACGGGGAGATGTCTGACTTCTCAGTCGTGGAACCCAAAGTGAGTGATGGGCAATGGCACGAGTTCAACTTCCTTACTGACCCCAACAGGGCTCTCTTCTGGGTCGACCACGAAAACGTCATCAAAGGTCAGCCCTCTCTCATTCATTCATAAAATCATGCAATATTTCTCATCCGTATTTAATCTAGAGTAAATTTTAACAAGATAAGAGACATTTTGAATCTTTGTACCAAAAATTTATCTAAAGTTCACCAAACTGGGGTAATCAAGCCATCATAATTTCAATAAATAAAGACTTAAAATATTTTGAACAGTTACACTTAAGATCAGCGCCTTCCAGTTAAAAAGTCAAAAATTGTATAGAGAAAAAACAAGTCGGTCGAAATTGATGCGTCATTTCATCGAAAGTCGGAACAACAATGTTTCTGCCCTCTACCCTCTGTTGAAAATTTATGCTTGGTGAAACGATAGTAATTAGAGCAACACCTGATTTACATTAGGAGTTCATTTTTTGTTCTTCATAAAAAAACTTGGTTAAATTCTGTGATCCCGCACCAATCGCCCATGGATTTTAACCGATTATAATGTAAATTCGCAGAAAACAGTCCATTAAAATCTGTTACAGATGTAAAGACCACGAAATTGTTTATATTACCCTTATCATAGATTATTTTTGTGAATCATTTTAAGAAAATAAAGATTTTAATCCTTATTTTGGCCCTGAAATTGATTTTTTTGTCAAGATATTCAAAAAAGTCCATTTTTTGGAAATCTTATTTTAATTATAATCCATTATAATCAATTAGAACAATAAAATTTGTTTAAAAAACTCTGTTCTATGACTCAATAAAACACAAACACGGTAAAAATCCCTTCAATTTCCCCAATACACCCCACCTTAACCACGTTTAACCATTAAATTGAGGGAATAAAAACAAACTCGTTCCAATCAGGGAGAGTTAGGGACCTCAACGTGAGCTCTGCCTCTTCTACCAACACCCAGGATTGGATATGGGATAAACTAGAAGTGGAGGGGGTTGTAAGCTGGAGTGGAGTTGGTAAAAGAGGTCAGGCTAAGTACCCCCCTCCCCCCCTACCCCCCCCCCCCACTTCAAACATTGAATAACACCCCTTTCGTTCAGTCATTAACCCCACTTATCAACTGCATTTAGCAAAAAATGATAATTGATATAAGAATGATTTGTAAATTTTATTAAAACCTCTAAAAATACCATTATAATCGTTTTTATTCGATTATAATGGAGTATTGACAAAAAAATGTATTTCGATCTCAATTCATTTTTGTTGAATTAAATATATTTATTTTGTAAATTAAAAGAAACTGACTGTGTAATGAGACTAATATTGAGAATTATCTATGGTCGCTCGGTGCGGGTAGCTTAGATAAGTCGCGGATTTTGGCCGTATACAATTTCACTGTTAAACACCGAACGGTATTGTTAAATAAAAATAAAATAAATTTTTTTTTGCTTAAATTGAGTCACTTGCCATAGTCATTGATCTATGTGGTTTTGATGTGACACAAATACAAGCAGAAATTAAAGCGCTTCATTCAAGATGTCATAAATTTATATAATTTTGAAAAACGCCAAACCGAATTTTCACTTTATTCAGATTTGGTTCAGAGATTCTAAATAACAAGAGTTTATGTCTATTTGAATGAAACATTGCATTCATTTCGGCTTGTATTTGTGTCACATCAAAGCCACATATAGCAGTGGCTAATACAAGTGACCCATTTTGGGAGAAAAATGTTTTTTTTTCAATTGTTTATCTGGTTCGCATAATTGCAACAAAAAATGAATGAAGATCACAGCAAACAAATTTCAAGCAAGATTAAGCAGTATCTTTTTGAATGAGAATCTTTATCCTTCGCTTAAGGAAGGAGTGTGACTTCTGTTTTTTCTAATCACAATGGCACTATTAGTGTGCAAAAATGAAAGTTCTTGGGTTTTCTATAAACTTCCTGAGTTTTAACGAAAATAATATAGCAGAACAGGAAAATTTTGTGACATTATTAATCAAGAACTAGTGAATTCAACAAGAATTAATGCACGCTAATAATGCTTTTTTGCCACTTAAAAGGAATACAAAATTTTCTCGTTCAAAAATAATGTAGAAAAATTGTATCTTAGCTTTTAAAAAGCGTAAAACCATGGGCAGATCAAATGCGTAACAAGGATGTGGGGAGATGTATCAATCAAGTATTTAACCTCTATGTACTCCAATGGGCCCTTTTTGTGCTATTTTTGAGCAGGTTAGTTTTTGATTTAAAAGTTTAAAAGTTTCCAAGTTAACATTTGAAATTTTTTGAGTGGTTCAGGATTGACATTTTTGGGGCTTTAGACTCTTATCAAGATACTTGCACAACATAGTTCTGCAAGACTTATTATTTTTGGCATTAATTTTTTTGGATAAACACTATTCTTAGGTAGATAACTCTCGCAATGAACTAACACTTTGCCCCTACGCTTTTTCATTTCGAAAAACTGTTGAATGAATAACAAAAAAAAACAACTAAGCAAATAGTAACTTTTTTAATATATTGATGTCCAAGAACATTGAAAGCTCCAATAATAGGTGTTTTTGCAAAAAAAAATGAAACAAAAAATTTCTTTTTTTTTCAAATTTTTCAACTTGCAAAAACTGATCTGCAAAAACAAAAAACGTTCTCAAAAAAAACTAGCCCTTTACTTTTATTTTATAGCAAACAGCTAAATCATACTGTAATTGAAGTGAAAAAGTCAATTACTTGGATTGAATCTTAATAGCAAAAGATTTTACTATAAATAGTTTTTCAATACAGAGGTAACTTTTTTGAAAAAAAAAATAACTTTGAAAACTATTTTTCCCAATGGCATGTTATATTCGAAAATTTATTTTTGAATGAAACTGGTTAATTTCGTTGCGGAATCTAAGGTTGAAACTTTTATTGGTTTTGAATATAGCAGTTTCAATCAGAAATTTTATCAGAAATTAAATTTTCTGATCTACAGGTCTTGGTAAGATAACAACTCACCCGAAAGTGAAAGTTGTTTCATTTTTTTCAAATTTTTCTAAGATTTCTAGCATTACAAAAAAAGCTTTTAAATTTTTCATTTGAAACTTTTGTGTCGCCTTATAAGAATGCAAATCGAACAATAAAAAATACAATATTCGAAGAGTTTTTAATAAAAGTTTGACGGCAATTCTTTTTTATTTTTTAAGCCTTAGAATTTGATATTTACTCAATAATGTCGAAAAATCATTCAAAACTTTTAAAAACTGATTATGGAAGTTATATAAAAATGTATGTCAAGCAATTTCAAATGTGGCTAACATTTTTGTTCTCCGAAGGTTAACCCGGATAGAGAAAAATTTTATGTTCTTTGAGCCTCCTCCGCTATAACTTATTTGAATTGATTTGAAATGCTAAACTTTTCAGGAGCGGCTTTGTTTCCAAAACATTGTGAAACTGCAGCCTTTATTCATTCGAATTCTTTGTTTTTGATGATATTGAAGATATGCTTTTTCGAGTTTTCAACGTTTGAAAACTGACCATTTGGTCGAAAGACATTCTCTCAGGCTTTACTCTGGGTTCAAGTAGTTATCAATATCGTAAATAGGTCTACAAATTTGTAAACCTGATAAAAATTTATTATTTTTTGTAATTTTTTTTCATTTATTCAATGCGTTTTGGCTATGTTCGAAATTTCGATTCAAAGTTCATGAACTATGATCAAGGTTTTTTAATTATTTTGTATTGAAAGTTCAATCAGTTTTTTAACAGAAAATTATTTTCAAGTTCGAATTTTTCAAGGTTTTGACTTGATTGTCGAGCCTTTTTCGTTTTAATTTAGTTTTTCATTCCGAACAGAATATTTGCAGAAACTTTGATATCCGGTTTTTTTTTCACAAAGCTTTTAGTCGCACAAAAAACCTTAGATGACGTCGAATGGTTAATAATCTTGAAGCCTTGTTAAACTTGTTTTAAGTAGTAAAGGATAAAATCGAAAAACGTTTTTATATTAATGAGAAAACAGTGTAATTTTTTTTGCAGAGAAAATTCGAGTGAAATTCAAAGCATCAATGAATTGGTATTCATCCGGCTTTTCAGTTTTTCCTTCTCAGTTTTTTTCTTTGTATTCAAGTAGAAATCTTTTCTAATATCTTTGGTTGCTGACCTCTGTGAATTGGTCTTTCAAGACGGGTTCGATACAATTTTAAATGCATGTCTATGAATAGAGAGACCAACTGATGATTCTTCCAATTGTATTAAGTGATTCCAATACGAATTTTTTGGTACTCTAATGGCACTTCTAATTGCATTTTTTAGAACCTTTGTTGGAAACGCATAATAAAATCGATTTGAATCACGAGGGGGCTTTAAAACCTTCAGCATCTCTTACTTTTTACAACTCCCTTTCATTTTCTCTACACTGGAGTTCTATTTATGTTTAGTCTTTTCCATTTTGCTTCTCTTGATTTTTAACAGTACTGTAAGCAGAAATGAATTAATTATAAAGATGAGCAAAACGGTAAAAGAACATAAATTTCAGATTGGCCAATCCAGATATTTGAGCCAGTTTTTTTACTTGTACTTTTTGCATTAATTAGTTTCTTCTCGAATCAGTGAAATAAATGCGTTAAAAGTTTTTTTTTTCAATTCGCAATATAGTTTAACCTTTTGCTATCGATTAATTGGTTTTTGCTTACTTTTTTCAAACAGACTTTTCTTGTTTGTTAAAAATTACATCAAATTGCTTCAGAAGTGTTTTCTTCAAATTGACAGAAGCTTCTGATGCCGTTCAGTGTCGGTTCATTTTTGCTCTCATTTTTGCGATCGAGTTCAAAATTCGAAGGTTTTTATCCTTTTTTATCATATTGTATTTGCGAATGGACATTTTTACCTGTTTAGTGACTGTATATTTTTTCTATTTTATGCTCCTTTCTGTATCAAGGCGGGTGTACCATTTACAGTTCCGACCAATCAGGATATTGTTTTTTTTTTTCAAATTCTTCAATCCCTTTTAGTATTTGCACGCTTACACCCTAAAGCTTTTTCAAAATCCACAAGCTTATCCTAATACCTTTTGACAAATCAAAATCATCAAATTATACTTTTTACCATAATTATATTGGCAAGAAATAATTTTTCCTACATCGTGTTTGAGGATTTAAAAAAATCGATATTAAAATATCCAGCATTTATCTATCATCTGTCTTGATTTCTTTCCGATTTGAAATTGTTAAAATTCTATTCGTCAAATTGTTTCTGAAATTTAACGTTGCAATCTAAACTTCAAAAATTAATGAAACAGAGTATTTTATTAGTTTTAACTTATTTATAAATTTCTATTAATTTTTTTCGCAGTAAAACTTGTGGGGAATGCCAGACGTGCTTTGCAACAATGTCTGATTTTTATTTTCGTTTCATTTTTTGATTGAAAGTGCAGATTTTCATGAGTTTTCAGCTGTTTGCTGTTTGATGGCTTTTTCTTATTTTTTCCATTGAACTGGTTTTTAAAACAGTCCAAACAAAGAACTATACACAATACGGATGAAATTTTTACGACCACCGTTTTTGAATTTCCCGTTTCCTAATTCGTAAGTGTCCTAGCACAAAGAAGAGATTTGAAATAATTGGTAGAAAGCTAAATTGGGGAAAAATGTCAGAAAAACGTTGCGAGTTTTTGAACCATCTTAACCATTGTTTCGCCATTTACCACTGATCGATCGCTGAATACAATAAAACAATTCAAAATAACCAATCCCTTTTTACCTTTTTTCTGCTCTAATTTCATTCTTTTGTTTTAATACTTCCCCAGGAAAAAATTAGAGTTTGAATGAAAATTTGGTTTTGAATGAAAGCCTGCTTTGAAAAATTTGTGCATATCAAATTTTGCATCAATTATTTTGTAATTTAAGCTGTGTACCTCCTGTTTATTTTTAGAAGTAGCTTTTTAATGTTTTTTTTTCAATACAAATTAACTTTTTCAACACTAGTTAAGCTTATTTGATCACATTACTCTCTTGTACTTTTTATCGAATTTTAGTTAACAGTTATTGTTATCATTTTTTGAGTCATTGTCGTTTAAGTTTTGCGATAAGTGTATTATCCCATATTATTTTTATGTCTCGTTTTGAACTGAGAGACCATAGGTGAAACGATGGCACCATCATTCAATTGTTGTTTTGTTTTTTTTTCTCTCGCTAATCATGGACAGGTGATGGGTTCCTTTCACTTATTGATTAAGGTCAGCCAATCGTGAAATTCACCTTTTCAAAATGCACACAGCATTTGATTTCCCAATTTGTCCCAATTTTCCCCGATTTTGTTTCAAATTTTGCGCCATCAATCTTGACATTACCATCGTAATCATATCTACGGCGATTTAGATTTTCTGTCACAACAATCAACAAACAGAAAAAAAACACCAGCTTATTACTACCAGCCTCACGAAGATACACAGCCTCAAATATCATTTGTATCAAACATAAAATTATCGTATTTTTGCAGGCAGCAGAAGCAAAACAAAAAATCACAAAAACTGCACAACTTAAAAACTGCACAATTAGTTGCCGTCAACTTTGATTTTTTTTCTTAAGAGAAGCCAATTAGGGCTTAGAAGACAAGCTTCCTGAAAAAAAAAATGCTTGATAACAAAATTTGATTCTGCAATTTTGTTTGCTTTGAAACTAGTTTTTTTTTCTTCCAGAAACAATTTGTTTTATTTTATTATTGATATATTGATTCAATTAGTTTGATAACTTATCGTCGTGTTTTGATCAACCGTTTAAACTTGCCTTGAAGAAAGTTCAATCAGCTTTTTTCTAATTTCAGATATTATTGGGCGGAAGTTAATGAAAATGTCCGTTTCGTTTGCTAGGGCTGTTATTTTTATCCATTTCTACCTTTTAATTACTTATCAAAATTGCTGGGCTCTAAACCATGGCCGAGTAGAAATGTGGGGTGAGTCACCATTTTGTTTATTTTTGTTTGTTTGTTTTTGTTTCAGCTTCACTCAAACCAGAAACCGGAAAAAACACGATGATCATCGATACCATTGAATTGGGAATGCCAAAAAGCAACAAATTTGCCCAGAGTTTTGGAAAATTCAGCGGCCAGATTCAAGAACTGCAGATAAACAATATCAAATATCTGGACGTCATTACGCAGCCAACTTACGCTAAGTTCGTCGAATCAACGGCGAGAAAAGTCGAAGAAGACGCGCAGATTACGAACTCGGTTTCGTTTCGTTCGGCTTCTGCTTCCGTTGCTGTCAATAACATCCCGGTGAGCAGTGGCGAACTCCGGGTTAGCTTTCGTTTCCGAACCCACTTTAACCGAGGACTTATTTTGTACCGCAGCGTCCCGGGAGGCGGAGATTTCATCGCAGTTGAACTGACAGGATCCGGACAGCTAAGAGTTGTTTTCAACTCCCTCCAAGGCAAAAACCAAGACGCCAAGTACATAGATTCGCCCCAGTCTAAGCCACTGAACGATGATAAATGGCACAGCGTCAGTTTCCAGAGAATTAAAGAGTCCGATTATCTTTTCATAAACAATCTGTACGTTGACGGATCTCCGATTACAGTTACGACTGGTCAGCCGGGAACCCTAGAACTAACGGGACCCCTGTACGTCGGCGGGGTCTATAGAGAGATCTACCATCTACTGGATAGTAGAATCCAGAGTTTAGACGGGTTCATAGGTTGTCTGGATAGTTTGCAGTACAATAACCAGCCGATCGATTTGGTAGCGGCTGATCGTATAATAGAACCAGAGGTTGTTTTTACCGGATGTCCGGACAGTAAGTTCATCTACCTCTCGAATGAAATATCTTTGGCCTCCTTTTCAATATAAAATTTTTTTGATTTAACTTAGTTAATGGATGCACAAAATTTGACCTAACAAGTCTTTAAAATGACCTAGTAAAAAGTCAAAGGATTCCAGAATTATTAGTCTCGCCAAAATTTTTGATTAGTCTTTTTTTCAGCCATTATACAATTGCATTTTAACGTTTTGAGCTGCAAGTTCGCCACTATTGGCCATTCTTAATCAATTGAACAAATGAGCCAAGTGTTCATCCCAAATGAGCACAAAAATGGGGACAAACTTTGAGTTTGAAAAACTTTTTTTGATCCACACAAAAGTTGAAATAGCGCATCTGTCAGATGACGATAAATGGATAAATGAGAAATCATATGATTTTTTCTCGGATCATAAAGTTCGACTTGCATTAGATTTTGAAAACAAGAACTAGTTTCGGCTAGCATAACTTTGAAAGCTCAAAATCAATTTTAATCCATTTTATAAGAAACTTGCATTTCTGTTGAAAAGAAAAATGTTATTGAAAAAATAAGCAATCAACAAGCAAATGAAACTTCTCTAACAGAAATCGTGGTTAGTCACATCCGGATCTCTAATGGCTTTAACCGAACACTTATTGCCTCGCGCATTGTGAAATTTAACTTTTGCAAAATTGAGTTTTATGTTTCGACTCACAGGCTAGTCGAAGTAGTTTTCACCTTTGAGTTTTTACGTGAGTCGATATTTATGCTAGTCAATACACCGCCTACAATTCAGTCAAGAAAACAATTTGAACACATGCAGATGAAAAAGTTCCGTGGTTCAACTTCGTGTTCAGAATAAAAACAAAAAACAATCGCTATAAAACTCAATACTTTTCAACTACTTCAAAAAAATACTCTGGAATTTTGTTTACAAGCATGAATAATCCGAAAATTTTCATCTTTATGCACAAGAACTGGCTAATTTCCTGTCTTCTATTGGTGAGTGGGTTTGATTAAGTTGTTTGATTTTCACAAAATTTTAATATTTTAAGACCTGTTTTGCTTGATTAGCTCAATTTATGATTTCTGTGTGACAATTCGGTGTGTTTTTTAACACCGGAATTCAACCCCTAGAAAACCAAACAACAGAAGTATCAAAAATCAAGGCTATTTAATTTTTTCAAATGGTGGGCGGCAAAATTACTCTAACCATTTCTCGATTGACCTTTTAAGAGTAATTGATAGTCTCTCATATAGATCGTGTTGATTTTTTTTCTCAAAAAATTCATAAAACTCGTTTTTTTCTGCAATTTGACTTTTTATTGTTTTGAAGTTCAGCTCATTTTTTTTGTTAAAAGGAAGGTAATCTGCATATTGCAAAACAAAAGGGTAAAAGTCACCTGGAACGTGATAGACTTCTAGTTTTGAAAAAGAAATAAAAGTTTAATTGCACAGCGGAATAGTAAATTTATTTATTGGTCCAGTTTTCTGAAATTGGGATCAATTTTTTAAAAAAATCATAGATTGTTCTTGAACATCAAATAGTTTTCAGGCCACATACCTTTTTCATTTTGAAATTCGAAACTTGATTTTTCTCCAAAACACAAGTCGGATATTTTTCTGTTTCCTTGTATTCATTGACTTTTTTACCAGCTTTCTGTTGTCTATGGAAAAGTTTTGACTTTTAATCATTCAACGGCAGAAAATTTTGAAGTTAAAAACCGTTCAATTAAAAAACTGGTTGAAGAGCTTTTGCGTTGAAGTGCTTTTTCCTTTATTTTCATAGGTTTTTTTTCAAGCGAAACCTGTTAAGATTCAGAGTTAGAGCAAGTAGGACTAGGGGATAGAGGTTTGAGAGTTATCTGAGGTTTCAACTGAGGAGAGAGAAGAGATACTGATTGTTGAAGAATGAATTGAGATTGTGTTTTTAAAATGACACGACAAACTGAGCATCAAATAGTACCAGTTAATTAATTACCAGTTAATTAATTAGTTTATCAAATACCAGCAGACCAGTTGACCTTGTCTGAGTGCATTGAGTTTTATACCAGTTGACCTTTAATTAGGTTTCTATTGCTCAAGTCTGACCTTGAGTTTGGTCTGGTATTTCACTAGTCTGGCATTGAGCTCGTCTGTCCTCAACACCCCCACTCAGGCTGAATTGGCTTTGTCCAATGTCAGGCTGCAACCCATCAGCGTTCGACGATGTTGATCCACCTTTGCCTTGCTCAGGGATTTCGTCAACAAGTCAGCCTCCATGTTTTCGGTTGGACAGTACTCGAGCGCAAATGTTCCATCCTCGACCCGCTCTCGGACAAAGTGATACTTGACATCAATGTGCTTTGTACGCTTCTGCATTACGGGATTTTTGCACATCTTGATGCAGCTCTGGTTGTCCTCGTTGATCACAGTTGGACCATCACACGTCATATCCATCTCATTGAGTAGGGATCGTAAGTAGAGGCCTTCCTGAACAGCCGCTGCCATTGCTTGATACTCAGCTTCGCTGGTAGATATTGCTGCAGTAGGTTGCTTCTTGGTACTCCAGCTGATTGCTGCTCCTGACCGCTGCACATGAAAACTGTAGCCTGTGGTTGACCTTCTGTCATCAACGTCACCAGCCCAGTCAGCATCTGCTGAACCATAAAGGTTGAACCCATCAGGATCTTTGATGTAGCACAGCTCCAGATCTTTGGTTCCTTTCAGGTATCGCAGTACTCTCTTAGCAGCCACCCAGTGTGTTCTCCCAGGATTCTCCAGAAACCGTGAAAGTTGAGTCACAGTAGCTAGGATGTCTGGCCTCGTTTGCTTGGCTATGTACAATAACGAGCCCACTATGCCTCTGTAGTCCTCACGCTGCATTGCCACTGCTTCTTCTGAGCCCGCTCCAGGGCAGTCCTTCTTCGTCAACTGAGTGCTGATATCAGCTGGTGTCCCTACTGGTTTGCAGTCAGCCAACCCAAAGCGCTCCAAGCAGTCTTCAATGTAGCGAGACTGATTCACAGTAACAGAACCAGGTGCCCGTTTGACCTGCATTTTCAAAAACCAGGCTAATGGACCGCGATCATCCATCTTGAATCGGTCAGTGAATCGGTCCCTCACCCTGTCAACTTCTGCTTGCAGTTTGCAGCCAATGATGATATCATCCACCCATACTAGAACATAGATCATAGCATCATCCATTCCCCTCATCGTGAACAAACAGAAGTCATTGGTGCTTCGAGTGAAACCAGTCTCCAGAAGAAACGTGCTCAGCGTCTGGTACCAGTCCCTTCCTGCCTGCTTCAGCCCATAGATACTGCGTTGTAGCAAACACACTTGGTTGTCCCCGCTGCTGAACCCCTCGGGCTGTTCCATATACACAGTTTCTGTTAACGGCGAGTTGAGGAAGGCTGACTTCACGTCCATCTGATGAAGTACAAGATCATCTTGCGCTCCCAAAGCCAGTAGTATTCTCTTTGTTTCTGGTTTACAGGTTGGCGCAAAGGTCTCATTGAAGTCCAGTCCTTCCACTTGCATAAAACCCTTCACCACGTATCTGGCTTTAAACCGCTCCACTTGTCCCATTGCATCTCTCTTCACAGCAAGCACCCAGCGTCCAGGAATGACCTTGCGAGAATTTGGTCTATCAACAAGTGTCCAGGTGCCCATTGCCTTCAGTGACTGCACCTCCAAAGCCATAGCTGCTAGCCACTGCTCCCTTTCTGGTCCAGATACTGCTTCCAAGTAGCTTCTTGGCTCTTGTGCTATCACTGAAGCATGAGTATAAGCCAGTCCGTATCGGATGGGAGGGTTCCGCGTTCTAGTTGACCGCTGCTCTGGAATCTCTGTTGGCCTCTGCTCTGGAGGCTCTGTGGAAGGTGGTTCCAATTCTTCAGTCTCGACTGGGTCATCTTCCGTAACCCCCACTGAAGCTGCTGCTCCACTATCATTCGCTTTATTGGTAGACTCAGTGATGGTCTTCGTGCTAGTTTCCTCTACATCAATGCATCCCTCGATTGATAGACCCAGTGTTTGTGACTGCTCACTGTCTACCAGAAAGTCGTCTGGAATGATGTCTTCATTGAACGTCACGCTTCTTGCTCGTACCACTCGCTTTGTCTCCAGGTCCATCAGCAAGTAGGCTTTGCTCTCCTCGTCATAACCAATGAACTTGCTCTTCTTGCCTTTCGGATCCAGTTTCCGCCGGTTTCCTCTGTCCAGGTAGTACGCCAGGCATCCGAACACTCGCAGGTAGTTGACTTTCGATGGCTTCCCATAATGCATCTCCATTGATGAAATGCGATGCTCATTGCTGGATGTAGGACACAAGTTGCGAACCCTGACTGCCGTTGACATTGCTCGTACCCAGAACATCTTTGAGAGCTTTGCATCGGCCAGTAGACATCGAGTCATCTCAGTTATCACCCTGTTGTACCTCTCTGCCACGCCATTCTGTTGCGGAGTATTAGGTACTGTAAACTCCTGTTTCACCTGCATTTCTCTACAGAACATCCGAAAAGCATTCGACGAATACTCACCTCCGTTGTCAGTTCTCAAGCACTTCGGTGTTCCGTGCTCAGCTACAAAGTCTTTGAACTTCGAAAGAGTATCGCTCTTCTTAACCAGGTACTTGACCACTGCCAGACGGCTGAAGTCATCAATGAAGCTCACGGCATAGCGCGCTCCATGCATGCTCGCAACTTCAAATGGTCCCTGGATGTCGCTGAAGACCCGCTGCCCCACTGCAGTTGCCCTGTTCTCTGTCTTCTTTGGCATTGCTACTTCGTGCATCTTCGAAGCTGTGCACACTTCGCAGAACCCTAGCTCGCCGACATCAACAACTGATATTAGATCATGCTTGTTGAGATGCCCCAGCCTTCGGTGCCACAGCATTGCACTACTTGTCTCCATCTTCGCTTTCGTAGCTAGAGTCATCGCGTTCCTCTTGAACTTGCACTCCAGGAAGAAAAGCTTGCCGCGCTGCTTCACTGGTAGCCGTCGACCATCCGGTGCCACAAGATGAGAAGAGTCTGATGTAAAGCTGAAACTAGACCCTCTAGCTATTGCTGAGCTCACACTCATCAGATTCACGTTGTAGCTCGGCACAAACAGCACATTGTGGAAAGTGTAGCTCCTCGTCACATCTTGACAGTCTCGTATGTCCACTTCCACCGAGCCTATGCCCTCAATCTTTGATATTGTACCGTTCGGATTCTCAACTGTTGTCCCCTCATCCCATTTCTCAAAGCTTGAGAAGACAGCCTTGTCGCGCACTACATGATCGGTGCATCCCGTATCCACAATGAGATCATCTCCCTTCATTGAGGTTGTTGCACAACAACTGAAGAACCCTGTCTTTGCCTGCTTGCAGTCCCTTGCAAAGTGTCCTTGTTGTCCACACTTGAAGCACCCTTGCTTCCTTGAAGTTGGACCACTTGCTTCATTCGAGCCACTGCCTCGAGCACCAGATTGACCACTGTCACTTCTGGATCTGCAATCTCTTGCCAAATGACCCTTCTGACCGCACACAAAACAGCCACCACCCGACGCTCCTTTCTTCTTCCTCACAGCTTGCATAGCTATGTGTCCATTCCCAGTCTTCTCTCCACATCGAGCTCGTCTCGAGTCATCATAGTTCCTCAACCTCGTTCTCAGCTCTGTAAAAGTCTTGGCCGGCTGGAAGCTCTCCTGCACCACGAAATGCTCAAAGCTGTCAGGCAGTCCGTTGATCACGAGCGCATTGAAGAGTGTGTCCGTAATTGCTTCCCCAGCTTCACTCAGCCGCGTCATCAGCTCTTGACTTCGAACGAAGTAGTCATCGAGATCCTCCTCTGATCCTAGGCGCAGCTTCGCAAGCTGGCCTACTAGACTGACCACTGTAGGCCTCTCCACACTGCAAAACTTCTCTTGCAGCAGTCTCCAGGCCTTCGTCCCATCGCCATAGCCATCCGCAGCCACGCAGTCGTTCTTGATGTACATCAGTGTGGTGTTGTTCAGGACCAGAGCTAGATGTGACCACACTGTGTTTCGGTTGTCTTTCCTCTGCTGGATCAGCACAGCTCGCTCCTGCATCTTGGTGTTGTACGCCGTCATCTGGTCAGCATTCGGATTCTCAGGTAGCGTAGGTTCAGCTTCTGGTAGATCGTCATTGCCCATCACAGTCCTGAACAGGCCTTTGGTATGCATCAGTGCCACAAACTTCGTCGACCAAGCTGGAAAATCTTCAGACTTTCCACTGAATCCAGCCAGTTTCAAGTCCATCTCTGCTTTGCTAAAGGCTAGATAAAAGCTAAAAAAAACTCTGACAGAAATCAAATAATTATTAAATCAAAAAGTTTAGAAATCTGGGCCCATAACCTGTTAAGATTCAGAGTTAGAGCAAGTAGGACTAGGGGATAGAGGTTTGAGAGTTATCTGAGGTTTCAACTGAGGAGAGAGAAGAGATACTGATTGTTGAAGAATGAATTGAGATTGTGTTTTTAAAATGACACGACAAACTGAGCATCAAATAGTACCAGTTAATTAATTACCAGTTAATTAATTAGTTTATCAAATACCAGCAGACCAGTTGACCTTGTCTGAGTGCATTGAGTTTTATACCAGTTGACCTTTAATTAGGTTTCTATTGCTCAAGTCTGACCTTGAGTTTGGTCTGGTATTTCACTAGTCTGGCATTGAGCTCGTCTGTCCTCAACAAAACCAATAATTTGATTAAATTATAATTAGCCAGAATCGACTTCTTCTACTTGTCGCTCAAAAAACGCCTGCAAACTTCTTTGACTCGTCTCCTTGTATTGTTGAGCGAACATTTTTATAAACGTATGCATTGAAAAATTCATAAATTTTTACAATCAAGGTGGATTTTTTTAAACAAATTTTGAATTGACATTGACACTCATTTGACGTTCGCATAAATTTGTCCGATTTTCGAACACATCGCTCGTCTTTGAGAACTTCTTGTTTATGATGAGTGACGGTCG